CAGCTGGTCTTGCTCCTTTGATCAAACCCAGTTATTCGGATCTGATCTGGGACGTTTTTTTTGTTGTCACGCGATTAAGGGAAGCCGTTGCCGATTCGACCGTGGCGCATGGCACATCTTCTACTCCTCACCTGAGCAATGCTGTCTCCTGGGGTGCTGTGCGTTATTTCAATGTTCTAGAGATCCGCACAGTGCTCCTACACCCGCGTTCTACGACTCTGTCTCTCTCGTATATATGTACGGTGTGTTGAACTTCGTTCGCACCGTACGTAGCCAAACGTGCTAATCGGAGGTGCGGGAGAAGTACGACCAACTTAATAGAAAAAATCAGTTCTAAAGAATTGAGATTTAAATCTAGACGATTTAAAAGTGCATAGCTCCAGTGGCTTCCTAATATCGGAAAGCAAGAGCGTTCCAGACGGCCGCAGAAGCGCATCTGAAAGTGCCACGCGATGCGGTGACCGCCGTCTTTGCTCGATGGCTGAGCCAAAAGCCGCTGCGAGGATGACCGGAGTTAACGTGATGGTGCATGCTCCTTGGCGAGATCGGTAAGGCATTGTGGTCCATTTGGTTCCATTTCACGACATTAATGCTGCTATTGCTCGCGATGACAGCTTCGTCGTTTGTTTGTGTTGCTCTCTCGCTTCTCTCCTCGTATCTATATTCTGTAATGGCTCTATAGGGATGTGTGCATTGCACGCCTTATTTGGCATTTGCATTCATTTTCATATCTCTCCTTTCCTTGAACAGATATTTTGTGATTTGATTTAACGTCTTCTGTTGGAAACTAAACTATTTTATTTTTCCAGCTAAAGCCCACTGAGCCATGAGCTCTTTTGCGTAGGCGACCTGGCCACACGTGATAGCTCATCGTGCGTGTCAGTGTGTGTGTGCTGGCTGTCTCTCTAGGTCGACTCAGCCTCAAATGAGTACCTGGTGCAGTGTGTAAATATCGCCGGGCGTAAGGCTGACCACCCACCCCCTCGTGTGCCGTGCCGGCCTTCATAGGTGCTAATCGCTTACAGCACTTGCCCCAACAGTCTGTTAAGGCTATCCGGGGGATATTTTTTGTTTGTTTTGCAAGGATCGGTAGTTTAGTAGTTAACGCGCTGCGCTACGAACCCGACGACCCGAGTTCGATTCCCACTCAGGTCAACACCAGCGACGATTATCTGAACTAGTTGTGGGCCTCCTCTAGGTTGACTCAGCCTCAAATGAGAACTGCACCTGGTGCGGTGTGTAAAACGTTGCCACTGGGGAGACAAAGGTGGCCGGGCGTGGTGCTGGCCACCTACTACCTCGCACCAACAATCTGGCAAAGACTATACGGGGTATCTTTGTCTTTTTGTATGCGTGTTTAGTGCAGCAGTAAGCACGTTGCGCTACGAACCCGGCGACCCGGGTTCGATTCCCGCTCACGGCCAACACCAGTGGCAATTATCTTAACCGGTCGTGGGCCACCCCTAGGTCGACTCAGCCTCCAATGAGCAAACATCACCACCCATCGCCTCGTGTGCCGTTGCCGGCCTTGATGGGTGCTCGCTAACAGCACTTGCCCCAACAGTCTGTCAAAGGCCATACGGGGGATCTTTGTCTTTGCGCGCTGGCTGTCTCCGGCACGCGCGCGCGCGCGCGAGAGAGTGGCTGAGTGAAGGGCGCCCACGCGCGTCTCGCCACCTGTTAGCGGTGCACTCAGGGGGCGGGGGGAGGGGAGGGGCGGCGTAGGAGGGTTGGATGAAAGGGTGGAGGGGAGGGGGCGGGGTAATTAAATAAATAAACAATCAGACAGCCAGATAAATAGACGCACGGGTTGAATAACTGCGACAGAGACTCTCATTTTCAGTCGAGCCCTGCTTCGGAATGCATGCTCATATAAAGACAAAGACTCCCCGTGTAGCCTTGAGAACAGCCTGTTGGGGCAAGTGCTGTTGGCGAGCGCCTATGAAAGGCGGTATACGGCAAGCTCGCGGCCGCCTTTGTATCACCGGCGATGATGTTCGCACGCTGTACAGCTACTCGATTGAGGTTTAGTCGACCTAGCAGAGGACTCTTTTTAGATATTCGTCGGTGATGTTGACCGTGAACGGGAATGGATCTCGCGTCGCCGGGTTCGTAGCGCGATGCGCTAACCACTATGCCACCGCTCCCTCCTCCCCAAAAGTGATGTAAATATTGTACACACACGCACATTATACAGTGCGGAACAATGATAACGTGTGCTGTTTATCATCTTCAAGAGAAGGAGAAGATTTGAAGCTTTCGTGACTGCAAGGATTCATACTCTTAGGCTTTTTCGGTGAAGTCACGTCGGTAAAAAAATAAAATTAATATAAGTAATAATAGAAATAAAATAAGAAATCACGACGTTTTGGAGGCAACACAAGTCTCCGTCATAAGGTGGACCATCACAGCTAAAAATCTTGATGCAGTAATTTTAGCTGTGACGGTCCCACCTGATGACGGAGACTTGTGTTGCCTCCGAAACGTCGTGATTTCTTATTTTATTTCTATTATTACTTCTATTAATTTTATTTAAATGTTTTTACCTACGTGACTTTACCGAAAAAGCCTAAGGGTATAGAAGGAGAAGACTTGTTTATTGTTTAAGCCTCGTATTCCGGAATCACGCGCTAAAAAAAAGCATTCAGCGACACAACGGAATCACAGCTGTTCGACTCGCACACACTGGCGCCGCCGCTACATCTGTGAATCTGTGAATCGGTGGCGTCGCGTGCTTGGCATGGGCCCTGGTACAATGCATCCACCACCCCCCCCCCTCTTCATAGCTCAGCAGCCGGCCCGTGTGGGTTACCCGGCGCAGTTGCACCGCCTGCACCACAACTCAATAGCTGCCGCCGCCGCTGCTGTGAACGATATAATCTTGAAATTCTACTCTTCGCCGACATGAGCTCGCGGATACACAAACAGAGTCGTGACGGTGCACACTGATGACCAGGCGTGGTGAAGTATGGTTAAATAACCCCCCCCCCGCCCGCCGCCCAGGCGTGTGGAGTGGACCCCCCCCTGCCCCGGTGCGTGCTGCGAGCAGGGCCGGATTAAGGCTTTAGGGGCTTCAGGGGCTACAGTCCAGAGGCCACGGCCAGCTGGAGGGGCCTCCTGAGATGAAGTGAAAAGTTGTTTTTCGTTTGCGCGAATGATGCATTTTATTCGTTGGTAGCCTTGTAAAAATTCCAATTTTATTTTTCTTGAATTTTGTTTTCCTTTTGAAAATATTACTCGGGGGGGAGGGGGGGGCTCACAGTACCTGAAGCCCAGGGGCCTCCAAAATCTTAATCCGGCCCTGGCTGCGAGCCACCACACCGAGAGTAGCAACCCCAAAGTACACAGATGAATACATAAACAAGCGAGCGAGCGCACCAACGAGTCTTCTCTGCGCGCCGCCATACACGAACATAACATTAAGAGTATTAACATCACTCTTTGTATGGCGATATTCGGAGCAGTTCGCGATTTTAATGCCGTTAACGAAACGACTCCTCTATGCAACCGTGGGGGCTTCGCGTGCGCCGCGAGACGCGCCGAGGGGGGTGGACAATTTGCGGGCGACGTAGAAGGCGCCGCGCGAGGTTGGACGCCGTGGAGACGGAGCCGAGAGGTTGCCGAGATCGGAGCGGAGTTAAACAAAATCAGTCCCTACTCGGGTGCGCCTCGCCACGTCGACGTGAACATCATCAGTCGTTGCGCGGACGGCACTTGACGTCAATCCACTGCTTGGTGGATGGGTGGACAAGCGGCGGTGGGGTGGGGGGTGGCGGACGGACTTCCGTGGTTACAGCGAGTAAATATTACCGCTGGGGAGACAAAGACGGCCGGGCGTGTTGCTAGTCACACCACCCACTCGCGCGCCGTGTTGGTTGTCGGTGTGTTCGCAAACGGAACTTGCCCCAACAATGTGTTCAAGGCTATATGGGCGGCCTTTGTCTGTATGGATACGAATCCAAACATTACCAAGCAGAACCCGACTCTCTATATATAATAAGTCTTGTCATGTATATAGCATTCATCTCAGCTGCTTTATCTAAAGACGTGCACGTGTAAGAGCGCGTATCCATTCAAATCTCCACGTCCATCTCCCTCCGCCCTCGTCTCAATCTTCCCAGCCTCCCAACGCTGCCCCCCCCCAACGCACGGTGAGGATTTACGTCCGCGGTGTCTTTAACGTCCCCCCCCCCCCGTAGAAAACGACGGCTGCGCGTGCGCGCTTCGGTAATTCCCCGCCACGTCGCCAACGCGGAACGGCCGAAGCGTGGGGATGGAACAGCGGAAAACTCGCGCCGCGTGCGCCGCTCGACTCGTTCGCTCGCTCGCTCGGCAGCGTTCGCTCACTTCCCAGCGTGGGGGCTCACTTCGTTCTAACCCCGTACCCTTCGCCCTCTTCTCATTGAGACCGGTCCCGTCGGATTGACGTGGGAGGTCGTGGCCCCGCGGGCGTCGCCTTCGACGGCGGCGAGACCCAAGCGCTCGGCGTCGATCCGCGACGCGCGGCGCGCACTTGGCGCTGAATCCAGCGCACGCACGGCGACTCGGCCTCAAATTAGACCCCGGCTCGATTCCCTGCTCACGGCCAACACCGGGGACGATTATCCGAACCGGTCTTGGACCTCCCCCTAGGTAGACTCAGCCTCAAATGAGTACATGGTGTGGTGTGTAAACATCGCCACTGGGGACACGAGAGGCGGTCGGGCGTGGTCCTGGCCACCAACCCCCTCATGTGCCGTGCCCGGCCTTCATCGGTGTTCACTAACAGCACTTGCCCCAAAGGCACCACGACCGACCGCCTTCGTCTCCCCAATGCTGACGTTTTGCACAAAGCACGTGGTACTCATTATGTCGTTCGGATGCTGGTCACCGATATTCGACTCGAACTCGGGTTGCCGGGTTTCGTGGCTCAGTGCGCTAACCGCTGCGCCACCGCTCCCCACGTACACAACGCACACGCGCATCTGTCGTCCCTGCTCAAGGCGACCCCGACCGGGCCAGCGCATCTGGCCACGCGCGCACGTGGACACGGCGAGAGAGTTCGTTGCGATACCGTTGCGACTGATGCTGCTGCTGCTGTACACGGAGACACAAAGACAAAGATCCCCCCGTGGAACCTTAACAGACTGTTGGGGCAAGTGCTGTTAGCGAGCACCTATCAAGGCTGGAACGGCACACGACGGGGTAGGTGGCCAGCACCGCGCCCGGTCGCCTTTGTCTCCACAGTGCTGATGTTTTCACACTGCACGAGGTACTGATTTTAGGCTGAGTCGATCTAGGGGATGCGCAGGTCCGGTTCAGACATCCGTCGCCGATGTTGGCTGTGCGCGGGTAGCAGCGATTGCGACCAAGACAGCGCACTAAGTTCCGTGAGCAGTCCCACACCCGGCCGCTTTTGCCTCCCCAGTGCTGGTGTTGACATCACACAACGGTACTCAGTGGAGGCTGCGTCGGCCCACAGGGACCCAGGAAAAAGTTCTGGTACCACTCGCCACTGACGTCAGCCGTGGGAAAGAATCGACGTCGGTGTGGCCGCGTTCATCAGCGGCGAGTGACACCTCAACAGGTTATTGCCCCCCCCCCCCACCTCCTCCATTCTTCACTAACCCGCATTGACCAGCCTGGTGAAGTATGGTCAAACAACCCCTGTGACGGACAAGGCGTGGGAAGTTCTTCATCCAGAAGTGGGTTTACAAAGGGGCTTAGAACTAGCACAAAGACATACCAAGATAAAGACAAAGATCCAACCCTATAGCCTCAAAATACTGTTGGGGCAAGTGATGTTAGCGAGCACAACCGCCATTCGCCACTAAGTGGCGGTGACATCACCACGGCGCTTGTTCCAGGGTAGGTGCACGTTAAGGCCCCGTGAAGTGTCGAACGCCCGCTGGCAGGAGGTCACAGGACGGACCCAGCAGGTGCTACGGGTTGTCTGACTGAGATGACTCGCAGATGCCCCACCTGTGCTCCCCATTGTGCCAACTTGCTGCGTTTTATTCGCCCGGCGCTCCGCTCGCTGTTGTGAGCGTCGCTCCCCTGCCATCCGTTGTTGCTGAAGGGCGACTGCCGCCAATTACCCAGTAGCCTCCTTCACGAGCCTCCCCAACAGAGGCCGATCTTGACACCTTTGGTACTGGTCATCGTTAAGTCCAATGAGCTCCACATCCTCTTGCACCACGTCAACCCATCTCTTCTCTATCCCTTGCTGTGCCCGTTTAGCCCCTTTAATGCGGTCAAACAGAAGCTTCTTGAAAATGCCGTGGCTGGCCATACGGGCGGAAGAGTTCACGGATTAAGCTATGCTCAGATATTTCAAGTATATGTGCGCTTTTGTACATAATCAAATCTGGATTCCCCTCCGGGGGGGGCTTGATCCACCAGTTGCAGGATTTAGGGACTGTAGGACTCCATCTAAATGAGTCCATTCCCCTAGCAGTGGCGAGAAGAAGAAATTGCAGTGCTGCGCCTTTGCCATTGCCTTTTTATTCTTGTTACCGTTATTATTATTAGAGTCACAGTGTGTATCGAACGAGACAATTGGGGTCATTGAGCAATGTCTAGTAAAGTAAGCATAGTCTCGAATATATTTGTGCCAAGTTTCGGCATTTATAGCCCTTCCAGAACATCGCTCGAGTTGCCATCATTAATTAATTCACTTTCGTCTGCATATGTGAGAGGTAGAGACAAGTTGTCACACGCAACACGTGGCAACAGATGCACCAGCAGCCATGATTCATTCACTGCTGGATGAAGGCACACGCCATCGGCATCTCTCACGATCCCACGATACAGCTGACACAACGCGTCCTGTCGAACCGTCAATGCGATGTCCCTGACTTGGCGTGTGTTCTCTAATCTCGCCTTATCTCAGCGTTATTCCTATCAGGCACCTACCTACCTACCCATGCTTCTTTGAACACTCTTCAGCTTGTGCATGCCAATATGTCTGTATAATTAAGTGCTTGATTTTTTTTTAATCAGCCCAAATTACCGACTGTGACACGTGGATCAGAAACACGGCCATTGACAACGAACATGGACTGAAATCACTTTCACACGTACGCAGCCTCTATTATAATGCCATTGACGTGTGTCACAATACGATTCAACTCGGGGGTAACCTTAGGCTATAAACGTAAAGCGCAATAATTCAAACACCCTCAATTAACCTTTACCTGTTATGCAATATCCCGCAATTTGCACACATTAACGCACGCGTTCAGTCTTCCTATGGGCATTAGAATTGTGGCGTAAGACGCGTGGTCTCGGTAATCCGTGTCTTCGATAAGCGGCTCCTTTATAATATAATGCCACGCGTACAACTTGTGCTGGCTCAAGGTCTGCCTAAGCCAAACAAAATAACAAGAAGAGACAATTTTTCGTCGAATTTGGAAACAAATAAAATCGACATTTCTAGAGCCGCAATGCACTGTGGTGGTGAATGCGAGGAGACGCTGGTTCCTTCACAAACAAACGTCACGAAGCAGTTCCTTAAAGAGCCGCACGCGGCTCCGGAGACGCAGGTTTGCCGACCCCTGAACCTAGACACTACGGATTGTGGTGGTGTGGGGCAGGGGGGGTGGGTGGTGGGGCCGTTTGACCATTCTTCACCACGCGTACCGAAACGCGTGCAGAGAAGCATGCGTAGTTGTCACCGGCAAGAGGAGGAGGATGAGGCTGTTGATATGACGGCTGCTGCCCGCGTGTGCACGAGGATGGAGGGAGGTTAGCGAAGCCGGGGGGGAGGGGGGCGGGCAGTGGCACCCAGGCAGGAGGGGGGCGACTCGTGGCAGAAACTCGGAGCCGGGGATGGCGGCGGGCAATGAGACGCCGCTGAGAGCCGCCGTTCCGCCGTTCCGCCGTCGACCGCGCAAGGACTGCAGCAGCCTCGACCAGAAGGCCTGGAACGAGGGCAACAATTGACCTTCACCTTGAACTCTCGCGTACCTGCACGGACCCCCTTCTGCTGTCAATCCACTGCTGGATGAGAGCCGCTCCCCACGCCGTGCGGATCGTTGGGGGGGTGGGGGGGTTCCCGGACGCAGGCGCACAGAATTAAAGTACAACAATAGATGCATTTGTTGTTGTTCTTGTTCTGCACTGTCCTAAATTGCGCAACACGTGACTCCCAAGCCTATAACACGTGTTGTGCACAGCGGTCGTAATGGTCGCCCCATCCGAACGCTGTCCCCAAGCTCAAATCCGCTGCTTTGCTACCGAGATGTGAACTCACTTGCAGAGCAGCTCAAGAATTCAGGACTCAAGTCAAAACCGTGATCGGCCGTGCCAGTGAAATTTGTTTTTGGTCCCAAAGAGAGCCCCAACCCAAAGCAAGCCCCCCCTTCTGCCCCCCCCCTCTGCCCCCCCTCCCCCTTCTCCCCCCTCTCCCTGTGCCGACCGTGCTGGCGGTCGCGCTCGATTATTGAACACAACCTCGACAGATGCGACCCCGACACCGACACCGCACGGGATCCTCGATTCGTTCGGCTCCGCCACGCGGTTCCTGCGGAACGCGGGCGGGGATTGCCTGGGGTTGGCGATACTATTGCAATCCTATTACTATGCGATACTATTACTATGCAATACTATTACTATGTGATACTATTACTATGTGATACTATTACTATGTGATACTATTACTATGTGATACTATTACTATGCGATACTATTACCATGCAATACTATTATTATGTGATACTATTACTATGCGATACTATTACTATGTGATACTATTACTATGCAATACTATTATTACGTGATACTATTACTATGCGATACTATTATTACGTGATACTATTACTATGCGATACTATTATTACGTGATACTATTACTATGCGATACTATAACTATGTGATACTATTACTATGCGATACTATTACTATGCAATACTATTACTATGCAATACTATTACTATGCAATACTATTACTATGCGATACTATTATTACGTGATACTATTACTATGCGATACTATTACTATGTGATACTATTACTACGCGATACTATTACTATGGCGTCGTGTTTAAAACGCTGCGCTACAGATCCGGCCACCCGAGTTCGATTCTAGCTCACGGCCACCACCAGTGACAAATATCTGGATCGGTCCTAGGCCTCATTGAGTACCTGGTGCGGTGTGTAGTAAACATCGCCACTGGGGAGACAAAGGCGGTCGGGTGTGGTGCTCGCCACCCACCCCCTCGCGTGCCGTGCCGGCCTTCATATGTGCTCGCGAACAGCGCTTGATTCAACAGTCTGTCAATGCCATACGGGGGATATATTATTTATATTTGGTGACAGTTCGATGCTGCTGCAGATGCTGCTGGACATTACTTGACCCTGGCCTGGATCTGAACTCGACTGCTCACAATTGCGAGCCTCCCCCAACACCCCCCCACCCCAACCTCCTCTCTCTACAAAGCGACACTGCCAACATTTAGCGCTCACGCGCGCAGCGTAGACACGTACACACGCAATGTCGAGGTGGCATCTGCACGTGCGATCGTTCGACGGGGGAATATCCGTGCCCGGGTCTTCTTCGTTTCCATTAAAACGATGAACAAATTTAATAGGGAACCGCAAAACCCCCTGGGTTTGACGTGCCACGATCGCGGCGGAGTGGCTGGGAGAAATCGCAAGCGCGAGAGGCCCATGAGGTCGTGGCAATTTTATTCGCCAACACCACCAATCACCATGACCTATCCGCTGCTGGATGAAGGCCTCCCTCCAAATCCGTCGCCGGCTCTCACGGTCTCGCGGCGGCTTCAAAGAAAAAAACGAAACCCTTCAACACGCGACTTGTTGGTCCGACGCGAGTTGACCTCCGTCGACCCCGTGAGAGGGTGAGCGGGGGGGTTACCCCCCCCCCCCCTGCGTCGGCTACCTCGCCTCCTCACTCCGTCGTTAGTCGCGGCCACTGGGACCACCCAGATGGGCCCCTCGAGCGAACGCGTCGAGAGGGCCTCCGGTCCAGCGAGGGGCCTCCGACCCCGCCGCCACTTCCAGGCGAGCGCGGCTGCGTCGTCCCGCTGACGCATAGCAGGTGATGTACACATAGCAAGTACACACAGCAGGTGATGTACACACAGCAGGTGATGTACACATAGCAGGTGATGTACACATAGCAGGTGATGTACACATAGCAGGTGATGTACACACAGCAGGTGATATACACATAGCAGGTACACATAGCAGGTACACACAGCAGGTGGTGTACACACATAGCAGGTACACATAGCAGGTGATGTACACACAGCAGGTGATGTTCACATAGCAGTTGTATACAAATATCGTGATATACTCACAATAGGTTCACATAGCAGCGAATACACACATATCAGTTATACACAGCAGCTACTATAATCATAGCAGGTGTCCCTAGCAGCTAATATACACTTAGCAGCTAATATACACATAGCAGCTACAGACTCACAGCAGGTATAAATAGCAGCTGATAGACATATAGCAGGCGTGTTGACCTTCTTTCGCACCGTACGTAGCCAGCCGTGCTGCTCGGTATACACAGATGGCAGGTAATATGTTCACATTCGCAGGAAGAGAAAAATGAACT